GATAAATTAAATATTGTCTTTCATCAAATATATGTTGGAAAAGGAGAAAATGTGAAGTATAGAAGAAAACAATTGTCTTATTGTTCGGTTTCTCTTTTTTTTTTTTTTTTTTTTATTTTTTTTATTAAAGTGTATTCTAACTGTACACATGTCTTCCGGATACGTTAAAAGATTTCCTGATAAATCACTTCCCTCGTAAGATGACGCGCAATTGTGTCCTATAATGATGATTAATGTTTCACATTTAAAGGTAATATTAATCACGAATTAATATTACATTTTTCTTTGAAAAAGTAACACATACCTCGAGTCCCCCATCACCGTTATTAAACAAAAAAAATAAATTAATTTTTAATAATATGCAAGTTTTACAAACAAATTCAATAGATATATCTATAAAATAATAATAAAAATATCTAGAGACGTATTTAAAATATTTCTTTTATTTCTCTTGTATAATTTGTGTGTGTGTGTGTGTGTGATAATATTTAATAAATCATAATTATATTAATCATATCGTCACATTTTTTACAATTATTCATTTTAAATGTTAAACGAGGTAAGATTATTATTATACAATTGCGATCGCGGATTTTCTTAACACCACCATCAACAAATGTGGGTTGTATGTTTTTTTTCTTTTTTCGAAACAAACCTTTTTCTCAGGGGTAGGTGGAGGGAAATCTTATTTCCGTTGAAATTCTTGACAAGGTAACTACCAAGAAACGACATATTTGTCATATATAAGTACACGTGTTTCTTTTCGATGTAAATACCTGTGTATATTCATTACATACGTGCACACACACACACACACACACACGCGCGTACTTCTTGTGTGTCAAACTTTGAAACGCTAAGCAAGCAGAACTTCCGTTGCTTCGGGGCCGGTAACAGAAGTTGTCTACACCTTTGAAACAAGTATAGTGAATTTAATTCGTTGTCAATGAAGAAGGAAGTTGAGAATACGTTGGAATGCAACACAACGATAAGATAAATCTAGATCGTTGAATTTATAGATCATTCAATCTATAATCTTATATCATTTGGTTTTAATTTTAACGTAAATCAAAGTATCTTTATTTTATTTTAATATCAAACTTTATATTTTGTATTATTATTCATTCGTCAAATTGTGTCTATATTCGAGATATTTAATTACAAATAATATTATTAAATTGTTATCGTGAAATTAAGTTTGAAGGAAAATGTAAGAACAGTCGAGACCGGTGTTGTATTTCATATGCATATGCATCAACCACATACACGTACACATATATAATATATTCAATACCTTATACGTATAGGTTATTATCATTTAAATCTATACACATGTATACGAATTGTATACACATACAAATATATACTAATAAAAATATATTAACTACACTTCGTGTACGTTATTATCATTTAAATGTACGTTCACGCATACTAAACACTCGTGTATGTATGTCTCGACTAATTACACGAACGATGTTAACTAGTATATATATTCTTAGTATATATATATATATATACGTGTTATTTATGTTAGTGTGCGTTAGAATAGAGTCAAAGGTATACATAAGCTACGATTCTATTCCCGTAGATTCTGAACTATGCGTTGCGCATAGAATCAACGTTTCCTGTGTGCTGCTGCTGTTGCTGTTGCTCTCCTTGCCTTTACAACTCCCCCTTATATGCGTTTTACGTTACGAGAGATGCACGCGTGCTTCTATGTTACCAAATACATCCTATGCATCCACATGCATATGCGTGAGTTAATACATTTACGTATAGAGATTAGATTTGCCAATGAGTTCTTATAGTTTCTGATTAAATCCAATTATAAATGTTTTCGTTTGACACATAATTTTGTGTGTTATTTCACCAATAACAACAATCGTGCTATTAATCGTAACCTGTTTTAAATGTCTCACCCGGTATACGTATACGTATATTTAGTTACACGTGTGTGTATGTATTTGTTATATGTTAATAAGTGTTTGTAGGAATCCGTGTGTCGTAAAAGGGTTGCGTGTAGGTGTGTGTATTTGTCTCTGTGATTATGGTGGGTGTTCAGAACCGTACGATGCAAACTCGTTGTTTATTCCTCGTATCGACATGGCACCTACACGAAAGAACTCGATGTCACTCTCCTCGATGCACACTTGGAACGACACACAAGTTGCATTGGTCACTGCACTTCCGTCCTCGAGAAACATGCTGCTTGTTCTGTTGTGTTCACGTGAGTTCATGCGATACAGTTTCTCTTTATGGTATACGCGAACGCATGTATTATGTATGTATGTATGTATGTAATATTTATGACATCAAATATATCGTGGATAAAACGATAAACATCTTTTTGTAATTGTGTCACATCATTTTTTTTTCTTTTTTTTCATAACTAACTCGACGAGTTTGAAATTATTTTCTAGGAATAGGAAGAATTATCGTGTTATATTGTATCATTGTTTGTGATCGATGATCTATTTTATAAATTGAGATCATTATATAGAGTAATAATAACACTGTTCGCATATTGATTATGCGAATATATTGCATTGCTGTATTGTTTGATTGAATTAAATAAGCTTTACAATTGTATTAAATCATTTTTGTTCGTAGATGAATGTTTTACTATGGGAGTGAAAATGATTCGTGGATATTCGAAGAAAAGGAAGAAGAACACTGTCGAGAATAATAATTTAAGTAAGCATTGATTACCATAATTTGACGATTCTCTATTTGACCATCGATTTGTTTTTTGTTTTTTTTTCATCTATCGTCTGACCATATTCGAACAAATCCCATGGAAAAAACTTGCTGGATTACAAAATAATTGCTTTTCATGTGAGAAAGGTATTACCTGATCACGCAGGTGTTCCATGTAAAGGTGGGTGCTACTCTTTCGTAGTACGTAGGTGGAAATTGAGCCTTTTTTTATCACCTTTCGAAAATATTAACTTTTCGATGTCTGCCGTCTGGTAGAAACTACTCGTTCTAACGTTCGCGCCTACGTGAATTTCGTTACTTTCTCGCGTAGGTAGTTGATTAAATAGTCAAGAAATCTCACGTATTACTCGTACGTGTGGATAATTTTTATGTTTGTGATAAGAATCGTACAACTTGATCATAGTTCAATAACTTATATTAAAATTAACCCTTTGCACTCGAAACCTTTTTCGTTCTTTGGCGAAACACAACAACTCGTATATTTCGTAAATTTCTTATAGTTATGTACAAGAAATACCCGGTCATTTTATTTCTAAAGTATTTTTAATGCAAAAGATTAATTTTCATAACGTGTACAATTTTGTTCTATAAATTAGATAATCTTTTTATTAATGACAATAATTATCTTTAATATCTAATAATTATTTAAAACAAATGAGAATAGAAATAACAATAACGTTAGATTTTAATAATTAATTAATTTATTTTGATATAAATCATTTCAATAATAAGTTTATATTTCTTAATTTCAAAAATACGCGCCTTTAAATAGATAAATCAGAAAACCAGTTGATACTATTTGTAACTACCGTTAGATGGTGCTGGAAATTGCAGCGACAGTGGCATCCTCGTACGGTTGTCAATCGAACTAATTATCGAATCAACTAATGAATACATACACGCGCGCGTGCATACACACATGTAATATATATATACATATAATTTCCGCAGGTGGTGATTTTCGGAAGATAGAGAGAGACAGAGAAAAGAAGAAAGAAATCTAGGGAAAGAAAAAGAAAGATAAAAAGACAAAGTTACGGGTGAACTTGGTGTGACAGGGAATGAGTGAAGTGTGTAGAAAAAATCTGTAAAGTTAGAAAAAGATAGAAAGTATTGTAAGTAACTAAGAAAGGAAGGAGGGAAAGAAAGAAAGAAAGAAGGAGAGACGCGCGCGTGCTCGAGGTGCCTTCATCACGGGGCGTATCCCAAGAATTGCGAGGTAAAAAGCATCCTTTCTGAGTGCGTCATTGCGTCATCCTTTTATTTTTATTATCATTTTTATATTAATGGAAATGTTTTCTATCCTCGTTGTTCGCGATACCGCGATCTATTGATATAAATTTTATGCATCACGTTGAATAAATCAAGTGTGATAGAGAAAGAGGGAGATAGAGTGAGAGTGAGAAGAAAGAAGTTCACTGTGCATGTGTGCGTGAGAAAGAAAGAGAGAGAGAGAGAGAGAGAGAGAAAGAAAGACGGAGCATCGAACTCGATTTGACAATCGGATGGACGAAGAGGATCGACTTTGTGCGAGAGTTTCATCGCGATGAGACGCTACAAAGTTTTATTACTTACTCGCGATAAGAATTTGAATTGGTGCAATTAAATAAATTTTCCTTTCTTTTTTCCTGTTTTTTGAGGTTATCTTTATTATTTTTTATTTTTTTTTTGAAGTGAGTGAGTGATATCTTTTTCCCCCCAAGTGTTAAATTCATTGCCGTTTGTTATCAAGGATTATTTTCATCTGTTTGCCAATGTGTAACTCAGCGGACGCTTCGTACGTACAAAAGTTAGGTTATCTTCAGTTGGGAGATGATAGCTCGGACGTTGTTGGCACTAGTGGAGGAGGAGGTGGAGGAAGTGGCAGTGGAAGTGGTGGATCATCCACCAGGGTACTGTCAGGTTCAAAACCCGAAGGACAAGTGCCTGTTACAAGGAACATTAATGCCAGAAATGAAATCAGAAGTCAAGGTAGACCTGTAGGTGCTATCGAAAGCTTCATCGAAGGTAATTCTTCTGATAACGCTAGACAAACTATTTCTAATGATTATAAGCTTTACGAAAGGGAGAATATTATTGCTGCTTCGAGGTTTGCCACTCCTAAACCTGTTGAACAAATCAGCGCTCAGCAGCAGCAGCAACATCAGCAAGGCCAGGGACGAGTTAATAATCAGTCAGCACCTGTTTATGAAAACATAGACTATTATCCACAACAAAGTCAACCGCTGCCTCCTTATTATCATCCTGTTGAGTCTAGGAAAAGTCCAAGGGATAGTCCTAGGGGTTCGCTTGCTGGTGAGCCATATGAAGCTAATTTTAGAAAAGCACAACCTCAGGTACCAACTGGTAGTCGTTATCAAACCTCATCACCTGCTAAAGAACTGCCACCTTACGAAGCTCCACCTGTGTATGAGAATATACAGGAGGTTCATTATACGGATAATACGCAAAATAAGCCTGGACCGCAAGTACCATCTAATTATTATCATCCTGCTAATATCAATGGAGGTGATTATGTTATTATGACTGGAAAAGTTGGACAGGGACAAGCCCAGCGTGGTATTCCTCAAAGTTTATCGTATACACAACAGAGAGGAATAAATTCTAGGGGACAGAGTTATGATGGGTCATGTTTGCAACGTACTACTGTTGATTGTCCTTCCAGATATTTACAAGGATCTAATACAGATCATCAATCTGGTAGAAGTGCTTATGTACCACCTTCGGAGTTACATACTCCAACTAGAAACTTTAGTTATGATCAACAGCAGCAACAACAGCAACAACAACAACAACAACAACAACAGCAACAGCAACAACAGCAGCAGCAGCAACAACAACAGCAGCAATCTACTCGATCAGGATTACCTTATCACAGTGAATCACCTCCAATACGATTGCCACCAGAACCTCATCATTATCGTAGTTCTATGGATACTAGTGTAACTGGGCAACAACCGTATCGCACATCCCAACAAAATGATATGCAGCAGACGCAATATCGTCAAGATTCGCAAGTTTACAAACAATTTGTAGAACCATCTACAAGAAACATGAATCCAAATTACAATACGGAAAGTCAAGCTAGAAATTCTCCAGTTTACGGCAGTCGTTCCGAGCAACAGTCCTGCAGAAATTCTCCGTGTTATTCACCTAGTCGTACAATACCACCAAACGATAGGAATTATCATCAGCAAGAATCGAGATCCGATTTTCCTGCTAGAAATTCACCGATTTATTCATCCAATCGTTCGGCTGAACAATTACGTTTAGGTTCTTTGCAAAACGATAGGAATTTTACACAAGATTCCTCGGAATCTACTGGTCCAAGGAGTTCACCTTTATATTCACCAAGCCGTACTGATCCTGGTAGAGTTATTACACCAAATAGTAATAGTATCCGTAATTCACCAAAAGCCAGTCCAACTCATAGTCAAATTCAAAGCGACGTTGGCCTACAAAACATTACAAATTCTCCTAGACATATTTCACCTCCCTCTTCGGCAAATGCTGTGGGAAGTCCTGTACGTGTACAAGTGCAAACACCAGTGACCAGTACTGTGACTTTATCAAATGATTCTGATTCCACGGTTAATGTACCTAGAATAACAAGTCTACCACCAGGTGTTACCAGTGGCATTGCTGGTCCTGTATTTTTGAATGCCGGTGTACCCGTATTACAAAGATCTTCAGAACTAGAACCAGAAGAAAGAAAATTGGTTAGTCCTCCAATAAAACCTGCACCTGGTAAAGGACTGTTACCCTACAACATCATTCCACCGAGACCATTGGTAAATAATTTTTTAAATAATTTTTATTAATATTTGTGTTCTCTTTTTATTAGGACTTTTGTCCTTTTTTATTGGGACTTTTGTCTCTTCGAATTCAAGGTCTAATGTAATGTTCGATCGGTAAGATAAATTTAATTTTGAACATTGAGCTTTGTAGGCCAATGATACGAATTCTTGTCCCACTAGTTCTGGCATTTTGCCAACATTTTTTAATTCAAATATATGCTCGCATATGTGTGTGCATTTTTATAACGCATTAACAAAAATTGTAAAATTAAAACAAATGATATTGGAATCCTAAAAGAAAAGAATAAAGAGAGAACAAGGAACAAGGTTTCAATTCTCGATGCATCGCGTCATTTCAAAAAATTCTTTTCTCAAAACTCGCCGCGATGAATCATAAGGTCAACCATTCGTTCCTCTTGCTTATACATACGTTCTTAACACTGATGTGTAAAGTTACTCAAATTGAATTGTGAATTTTATTCTAATGCTATGTATAACACAAAAAGATTATTTTTTTATTACATTACAGGGTCCAACGGAAGCGGAAAGGAAGATAGAAGAATTGACGAGACAACTCGAGGAGGAAATGGAAAAACAAGAAGAGGAAGGAGAATATTTTGGTAATATTTAAACAATATATATATAAAACATAAAAGATAAAAAACAAAATCAATTTCGAAACTTTCTATCATTACTAACAGAAAAATTAAAACTCGTGCGTGTTATCTGTATGAGTAAGCAGTAAACATGTTGTATGTTGGTTATCATTCCGTGACGTAAAATTCAAGCTTATTTTCTTGTTATCAACGCTAGTTGTTAGCTATTATGCAAAGTCAATTATTCAGGAATGCCAACGAGGACGATTCTATCTATCTTACTTCCTCCCCACTTATATTCTCTTCTATTCTCTCATCTCACTTCTTCTTCATAGACTTTATACTCATTTGAATTTCTTTTTTTAAAAAAAAAAAAAAAAAAAAGACAACACATCATAATAATTCTCACACAAATAAGAAAAGGTGCTGCTGCTTGCTGGGTCATATTAAAAGTCCCCTATTATTCTTTTCTTACACACATATATTTTCGCATAAAGAAGAGAACGGGGGAGTAAAGAGAATTGAGAAAGAAAGAGATGAAAGCAGAAAGAGAGGAATGGTGGGAGGGAGATATAGGGGTCGAGGGGGCTGGGCTGGGTCAGGGGGACGAGGAGCGAGGGGGGTAAGAGGGTTATCGAACGTGCCGATTCCCACGCTGCCAGCACCCGTGTGGACCGGTTCCTGAAAATCGAGCTGCGTTCCTACATGCTCGCGATACTTTTTAACACGACGTTTCGTTGACATTCTCTCTCTTTCTCTCTTTCTCTCTCTCTCTTTCTAAAGCCATGCGTTTCTCCACCTACGTAAAAACCACTTTTACCAATTCCAATGTTCTAGGAAAATATATGCATTCTATATTTGCTTTCTATGTAATTGTATTATATATGTACTGTATAAGTATATTATCTATATGAAATGTATGTATGATGAAGAGTATAGTTTGAATTTGAAGCATGTATGATGAACTGCATGAATTTAATATTCAATATGATTCATTGTATACATGAATATTTTCTCATATATGAATTTAATTTATATATGATAAACTGTATAAATGTAAAATGCATATATAATGCTTTGTATAAATGCAATTTGTGTGTCTGAATATATATATATATATAAATGTAATTTTTGCATATGAAATATAATATAATTTGTGAATGCATGAAACGAGTGCATGAAATTTATGCATAAATGTATGAATATAATACTGCATGTATTTGTAATATATATATATATGCACTGTTATGTATGAATGTGATAAATGATATACGTGTAAGTTTTATGCGACGGTTTAGAATGCTCATTACTGTTCATTCTTTGATATGAAGAAAAAGAAAGAAAGAAAGAGAGAAAAAATAAAAATAGAAGACGACAGGTTGAAGAGGAGAAGAAGAAGAAGAAGAAGAAACACGCCCCGATCGTTTTGTCACCAAGTTGTCGTGTCCTATACTACCCGAACATTATTATTAACGCGGTTTGCTTTTGTATTGTGCATACGTTTGAATTCTATTCTTTGTGCACAACGTGCTGTATCGTATCGGTGGGCTGGTAAGCAGGCAGGCAAGCAAGCAAGCAAGCAGGTCGTTCGGTGCGGTAACTAATCTCGTTATAGATAGACCAGTCCGACTCGTTGGTAGGATTCTAGTTGTGCTAGGTCTCCTGTACTCTCTTGTCTAGCTAGCTAGCAGCTAGCTAGGCAAACTTACTAGCTAGCTAACATAAGCTTTAGATAAATCTGTTATTATCTACTCAATGATACTAAAAAAAAACTCCTTCAAATTGATTCTACATTCTTTTTATCTTTGACTATTATTAGTGTTTGGATGAATAGGAATTCGGGTTTCTATATTTGTGATTTTTATTTTATCTTAAGGGAGGGGAATTACTTTAAGAGGGTTTTTAAGGAATGTCAGGAACCATTTTACCCATCGACAGTTGTAAGTTTGCATTAAAGTGATCTTGACAGTGAACAGCAAGTATCTTAAACTGTTGGATCTCTTTCTTTCTTGTGTGATATCGTTTTGCTCGGCTCGAATGTGTATTTTTAAACTTTACTTTTCTTCATTCCTATTCTGTATATTCCCAATGCTGTTAGTGTTACTACTGTTCGATATTATTTGAATCGAACGATAATATTCTTTAGTTAATCAAATTTTTTGTCTTTTATTTTAGATCAATAGTTTTTTTCGGTGAACTTTAACACGAGTTTTATATAGAGATTAGTCTTATTAAGTGTTCTTACATTATTTTTATTATTTTCTTGTAAATTCGTGTGGATAAGATAATAAAATGAATCTTATGAAATATACTTTCAACAGGTATTTGCCACACGTGCGGTGAAAAGGTGACAGGTGCTGGACAAGCCTGTCAGGCTATGGGTAATCTTTATCATACCAATTGTTTCATTTGTTGTTCCTGCGGAAGAGCATTACGCGGTAAAGCATTTTACAACGTTCACGGAAGAGTTTATTGCGAGGAAGATTATTTGGTAAGATCAAATGGGTGGTTTCCTTTTATTTAATTGTATTTATTTATTAGGAATAATTAAATTATCATAGAAAAAATATGTTAAACCAATTAATGTACCCGGTATATTGTGTAAGAGAATAGTTTATCTTTGCAGTATTCCGGCTTCCAACAGACGGCTGAAAAATGTGCTATTTGTGGTCATCTTATTATGGAAATGGTATTTATATATGTATTCGCATTTGTACGATCCATTACCATTTGGGATTTATTATTATTCGATGATGCAATATCATTGAATTTGATATTTTCTAGATCTTACAAGCTATGGGTAAATCCTATCATCCTGGGTGCTTCAGATGTTGCGTATGCAACGAATGTCTCGATGGTGTTCCTTTTACGGTAGATGTAGATAATAAAATTTATTGCGTTAACGATTACCATAGAATGTTTGCACCAAAATGTGCATCTTGTGGGAAAGGCATTACCCCGGTTGAGGTAAATTAATTCATAATTTTTATTATTGTTGTTGGGACTTTTCTTTCTTTCTTTCTTTCTTTCTTCTTTTTTTAGGGTACCGAAGAAACTGTTAGAGTTGTTTCAATGGATAAAGACTTTCACGTGGATTGTTACGTTTGCGAGGATTGCGGAATGCAATTGACTGATGAACCCGATAAAAGGTGCTACCCACTCGATGGAAGGCTCATGTGTCGTGCTTGTCACATTCAACGTATATCTCATACACAACCAAGAGCACCACAGCCGGTATCTGCCAGTTATCAATTCATGGGATAAAAAAATATATACATAGATACATACATACATACATAAATCAATATGCGTATGCTTGTACGTGCTGGTGCGCAATTACACGCGCATTTGCTTATATTAGATCATTCTTTTTTTTTTTTTTGTTTTTTTTTTCATTCGCGCACATAACAGCAGCCATCCTACTATGAATAACACTATTGTGCGTAAATTGTGCTTGGAATTTCTAGTGAAAATATTTAAACGAAACAACAAAATAATATTAATAATAATAAGACTGTTGTTAAATCTACACTGCCTCTTGGGATCATCATCATCATCATTATCATCATCATCATGTATATCAAACGGAACTTCTCAAACTTTTTTTCCACTTGGCAAAACTTCCTCGCTTTTAGTTTACACGAATATTCTCGTGACCGAACATGGGTTTTAAACTTATCATTTTCTTTTTCACTATGCATAAACTCAGGGACATATACTGAAACACGTATGTGTGTATAGTGTTGCCAAACTGGTTTAAAATTCATTTTAAATCTTTGGACGTTCAGAAATATTTTGCTTAAATTATTTACCACTCGCATTTTTGAGAAGTTCTGATTTATACAAGATAACTTTTTTTATTATTATTATTATTATTATTATTATTATAAATAATAACTTTTCGTCAGGATATTATTAATTAAACGACGGGAGTGTTAATTTTTTTTTTTTAAGTTCAAAATTGTATTCTTTAAACGAATGATACATTTAAATGTGCATTTTTCTTTTCTTTTTGTAAATTATTTATTTTCTCATAGTTTAATCAGTTCGAATGCAGGAAAAACGCAGTGGTCTCATTAGGATGAGCAAGTTGCGCATGCAACTGTGATATAATAGCATAATATCGATTTGTTTAACAAGGAGACCTTACGGTTGTGCCCTCACGGATTTTAACAAGCTTTGGTATATTAGTAGTATACTAGTAGGGTGTTATCGTGGTAAAGTATTTCATCCTAACGCGAAGCCAATTTTAAGAAAAAAGTTTCTAAAGTTTTGATTTTTGTTGTATACATGTTTATATTATCTAAAATGCAACTGATTATCAAGTGATGCACTAGGTTATGTAGTAGCGTTCTCGTTTCTCGTGCTGCTAGTTTGTGTTCGATCCTTCATGGGGAAGGTTTTTTTTTTTTTATAATTTTTTTTTATCTATGAGTTTTAACATATTTATTAAACACGGGTTCCAGAGTAATAGTTATCGTAAAAATATTCAAAAGAATAAATTTTTCGACAACTAGCGCAAATTACAAAAGAAAATTCATTACTTGAATTACGATTAACATTTTATTTTTTACCAGGTATATTATACATGAAAAAGGTAATGATTAGAATATATACGATTGTTATTTGTTAGTATATTGAAGATTTATCTATTTTCATATACTACTTTAACCCCCTACTAGTATACTACTAATTTACCAAAGCTCGTTAAAATCCATGGGGGCACAACCGTAAGGTCTCCTTGTAAATGGCGGAGAGAAACACTTTATTCCTTTTACTTGGTGTATATATATACCATGTATATATATATATATATATATATATAGATACACGTGTCTCGTTGTTATTAATTATTATAGTTATTATTATTATTATTAATTAATTAATTAATTATTAATAATTATTATTGTTATAATATAACGCGTGGGTTGTTATGGGAAAAAAAAAATTCAACGTTAAAACCCCCACGCACTTTAAATTTAAATCAACGACGATCATCCAAATGAAATGGAAAAAATGTATTTTTCATTTTAATTCTAATATTTATATGCAATTTTGATAGGCAATATTTAATCAAAGATTTGTGCGCTTTTTTATTATTATTATTATCATTATTATAAATCGGATAAGGTAAAATGAATAATTCGAAGATTGCATTGTTCTTTTCAAATGCAGGATTTATTTATTTTTTTTTGTTTCTTTTTTTTTTTTTAACTGCGATCGAACAAGAGGAATTTAATAACTGTTTTTTTTTTTTTCCATATATACATTTACAATATAAATATGCACACATACATACATGGTACAGTTCGTGCTTGATTATATTAGAATATAAGCGCACAATTTTAAAGCTGCCAAAAAATGGAAAGAAAGAAGTTTAGAAATAAAGAAAAAAGAAAAAAAAAAAAAAGAAACAAAAAAAAACAATGAATTTTTATCAAGAATTTGCTAATATAATCGTTTACATATTTACAATAGATTTTAAGTAAAACGAGTACTGTAGATAAAAGTACAATCTCTTTTTCTCTCTTATTTAAATATACATTATGTACGAGATGATGTTCAATAAAGGCGAACCAACCTGATAAAAACAAATCATCATTCAGAACTAATATACATAAGAATGTTCCGAATTTTTTTACGTTAAGTTTTACCAACATAATCCTACATAGGAACTTTATTTAGATTTTTTAGTAAATTTATCGTAATGTGATTTTAATTCATTATTATATTTCGTCAACATTTTGAAATTGAATATTTACTTGTGTAGAATAATTGTTAGTAAAATTTTGTATAAAAAAAAAAACTGGGACATCCTGTATATGTACATGTATATGTATATCTGTACATATTTATCCGAGACTTTATTATAACATTATAAATGATTAACATTTACAAGAAATCAATATTACGTTAATAATAAGCCACGTTTAAAGGATTTGGAAACGTAAAAGTATCTAGTTTGCGTATCGAGATACACATTATTTTTTGAAATACAATAACAATATTATGTTTTCGGTGGTTCTGTTTGTTTTTCTGTTTTAAATTCGGGTTTGTGCTTTGCCGTACATTTTCCCGACTGTTCTACCTACAACATAATAATGAAACATTTCAACAAATTATTATTATATTATTACTTCTTTTAAAAATATATTTAATAAAAAGACGATTAGGAGTTCTATTGTAAATTGTGAGGGTTTTTTTTTGTTAGAGTTTGTTTCTTTTAATCAACTATACAATATATTTTGAAAACGTACGTAGAGTTTCGTCCGCAGACTGCAACGAGAATGGATGCGTGTGGAAAAAGAAAGACAAGACAATGTTTCATGTTTTCATTTCAGAAACATATATGTATATAGGTATATATAAATATATATATATATAAATATAAATATATATATATAATTACAATTAATATTGGTCAGTTTTCAAAGAGAAATTTATTTCTCCGATTTATGTTTAGCAGTACGACGATATTCATTGAATTTTTTACTCACGGTTGTTGCTGCCTTTTTGAAAGATGATGCTTTGAGATATCCTAATCTATTAAGATATCTAATCGACATAGTTGTTCCACCTAAAAGAAAATTGAAAATATAGTCAGAATAATTATATGTTTTTATTTATATATATCATAGATTGAAATAATTACCTATGGTAATGGCATATCTGGCAGGTGTACATATTTTGTAAAGGGCATAAATAATAGCCCAATTACCAGCACCCGAATTGCGTAACATTTCTAAATACTTTTCGCTTAAATTTAAATGTTCCATTATAGAAATTACATCTACACCGCTGTAAGAAATAATTATTTGTTTAGTTTTGTTTTTAAAAATATAATTTTAAAGACTACAAAGTTGAATTGACTTAACGCATTTGCCATCTTACAGCATAGAAGAAGAGATTTTGATCACAGTTGAAACCATTATTATTTATACAACATGTTTATTGTTGAGTTCTTGATAGGAATCAATGCGTTGCAGATAGCAAATATGTTAAGAATAATTTATGAATAAAAATTACTTTTTAACAGTGACATAAAATATTGCAACCCAACCCATTGAGGTAACTATGTGTACTGGCACTAATATATACCAATAATCTTTGGTCAATTGTTTCATCTTTTGAAATATGGATAATTTTTTGTCAGGTAATGGTATATTAGTTTCATCGTTAGATTGTTTCTGGGAATCATTGGAGTACGCAAAGATAATATCATGTCTATTAACTTTGAAGTTTCTTTGGCATACAAAGTTATCGTGTGAGAATAAAAAGTAACTACGTAATGCAGTCCTGTAACGAGCATTATTTTCTGAAAAGCCGAAATTATTTTATACCAATGTAGAGAAATTAATCAATAAGATATAAAATTAAATTAGGAATCTTCTTGTTAATTATTTTTGTTTGTTCTTTCTTTTTTGTTCTAACCTACCATTGCTCTTAAACATCCATAATTTTGGATCTGTGCAGCAGCATAAACAACGAGCTGATAAAAATCCATTGTTAATTAAAAATGATGAATTAGACTTGAACAATGTCGTGGCTAATCTCAGCCCACGATTAATTATTATTTCCATTTTCAAAATTAATCGTTTTTATTCCCAATCCGTAAATAATTAAATAAGGTTTTAATGAATGTATATGTTACCACTGGGATTAAAGAATTTGAAAAACAATTTTTAGAACACGTTGCGAAATACTAAGCAAAGTGTTTATAACCCAGAGACGATTTGATATTTTTTGCAATTATTATTTTTTAAGAATGTGTGTGTACGTATGTGTATCTGTGTATTAATGTATGCTGATATTTTATATTTTAAATATGTTTAAAAATACTTTATTAACGAATGTATCTCACATTTTTCACGTTATTATACACATGCACGTTCTCTTTTATCGATCTCACAAACCTAATTTGATGATAGAATACTATGCTACCATCTTGCGGAGAAAATTCATGTGTTGAACCTTTGAAAAAAAATGCTAAACCTTTCCCGCCATTTGTTTTAAAAAATTGTAAAACTTCAAACACGTTTATGTATAAAGTAAATTTGTTTAAATAATTTTTTATTATTATTATTATATTATATATATACATAGATATTTGTTTTTGTTACAGTCTTTAAATATAGAAGAAAATAGTTGAAATTGCAACGAGGATAAACAAGATGATGGAAATTGGATAATCGTTGGCACCATTTTGATACAAATGAGCGAATAATGCTGGAAAAAAAAGGTTTATTTTAATATTATTAGTTGAATTATACTAAATCAATTGTTAGAAATAATTATTTCAATTTTAAACCTGTGTCTTCTTGAATCGTGATCCATCCAATTGCTGGTTCCATTTCATTTTGTCGTTTGAGCCATTCGTAAAGTGGTTGAAAATATTTAAGTATAGCATCTGCATCTAATCTGTTTGATTTACCTCTGGTCATTTGTCTGATAACATCGTGCCAATGTCTCGATGCACCGATTGATAAAACATCTCTAAATGAACAAAAATATATTTATGTTTAATTTATATATTAAAAAAAGATTAGTTATATTACAAAGATGATGATGATGAGATGCATAAATAAATTGTATTGGATTGATCAAGAAATTTATTTGATATTTAATATATTTTTATTTAAATCTAATAGAACATTTTGGAACACAATTTAATTATTTAAACTTACGATAATAATCTTCCAGCATCGCGTGATCTGTAAAGATCACAAGTATGCAATTCAGCAGTGTGTCCTGAAATTTCGCACAGAGATTGGAATAATTGAAATTGTAACACCGTACCAACGAAATATCTGCAATTGGAATAAATTCGTCATAATTTAGATATAATAAGTTAAGTAAAATTATATAATAATTTAAATTAAATAATTTGGCACCAAAAAAAATCGTAGGTAAATTTATATGGGCTTATTTAAAACGTTGAATTTCTTACTGTGCGTAAGGTATATCAGCAATTATATGATATTTCGCAGCTGGATCAAAATCCCTTTTGGTTCTTGGAACTGGTGGAATTATTCCTTGATATTGTAATCTCAATTCCCACCATTTGGTAGTCATGTCATCGACTCCTTCGTTAAAAACACCCCATCTCCACTTAAATCCAACGAATACGATCTTGTTAATAATTATTTTGGAGATTTATTTGAATAAATTTAAACAAAACAACAACAACAAAATAGAATTTACCTGATCGATTATATAAGCGAAAGGAATGTATGCCAATTTACGTAGTGCTATAAGCATCAAAAAATTAATACTACTCTCGTAACCATCCGTTGAATTGTTATGCAAACCAATTTTGTGCAAATGTTGAGGAGTCATTACTGATAAAATAATTGCATCGCTTACTGCTTCGTGAAAACCTATATAAAATATGTTTTAATATATTATTAATAATTTGTTCGAACTTTTAAATTAGCCACAATAAGTTTATTCGATTTTTTTTTTATTTTTCTAAACAAATAGATCTTTGTGTTTTTTTTTAGATAATCTAATAAATCGTGTAATATTTTTTTTTTTCAGATGTTTTACGCGTTTACCAGGAATGGCTTCTTTCCGAAAAATGATTGGCTGATCCTTGTATTGTAAATAATATTGCAAATGAGCCATTTCATGATGAGTAGATAACAAATCTTCCATCGTAACTTTAGTGCATTGTTTTATTCTATAGAAATTAATTGAAAATTTTTAAATATTTTAATGTATTTTTTTCGATAGGTGTGTGTTACCACAAAAAAAAAAAAAAACAATAACTTGACCTGTAATCTATGGTATTACAAAAATCCCATGCACCAGCCGTGCATATAACTTCACGATCGATTGGTTTTTCGAACATGGAAAATCTCCAAAATTCTGGTGGCATTGGTTTCATTCCAAGCGATGTAAAAAATTCTTCGGCAACTTGAAACATTCTTGATACAAAAAAGTCAATATATAATTTAGATAATATATAAATGTGATCACATAAAAAAATAATATGATTATAATACCTTAACGGTGTGTATCCAAGTATCATCATATCCAATGTAACATCAAGTTTGGTAGTAGCCGGAAATGGTTGAACCAAATCATAAATCCCTTCCCAATTTTGTGACCACATGTTACCCAAAATATGAGCTGGTAATGGGCCATCCTTTCTAATTTTATTCCCGTATCTTTCAAATAATTTTCTTCTAACATACGTAAAGAGATTTTTATATAACGGCATTATGGCATAAATCACTTCGGCCATGTTTTCTTCGAATTGTTCGTCTTCAAAAAATTCTTTCATTTGATCACCCGTATCGGCAAATCCTTAATAAAACAATTCAATGATCATAATTTAAGTACATATGAAGAAATTTATATTAAGATATGTTTTTATTATTAAATTATACCATTTAATCTGGATGCTTGATTACTTAATTGAACGTATCTCATAAAATTATTTTTAAGGGGTGGCCCAATGGCTTCGTGCCAAGCATGCCAGTAATATGAAAGCTCATCATAATCCTTAGATTGTGACATAATTTTGCTAATATCTGATACACGTAATTTAATGTTTTAATAATTCATGATTAATTTTAGGTATCAAGTAATACTTACCATGATCTATACTAAGATTACAATTAGATCCCATGTTTCTGTATGGACATAATCTTGTTCTACCATAAATTTCTTTCATTTCACCAATTAAATGATGTATCTATAAAGATAAATAGAAATAATTTTCTTAATTAGATTTTCTTTTTTCGTTTCTATTATAATTTGATATATGTTTTTGTTATTTAAAAGAAAAAAATTCAAATTGATTTTTACCTCGTTAAATTTGTCATCGGTCAATGCATTTCTTCCTTTGATAGCAATCATTTTTAATTCTCTTCTAGCTAATGGATCTGGTATACGACTCCATGCAAAACTTACTGCTTTACGCCAGGATGCTCTTTCAAATTTTAATTTTAACGCTTGCTCGTCCAACTAAAAAAAAACCCCCAAAAAAAACAAATCTTTTCAACGCGATTAATGAATTATTTGCAAATCTCGTTGAATTATTTTCATTTTAATTATTTTAAAAGGCTCGTTCAGTCAAATACGTTCAATGAAATAATAATAAGATCGATTGTTTTAATTTTTTCTGAATAAATAAATGGGAAAGAAAAAATCAACCCCGTACGAATGTTTTACTGGTTTATTTAATAATATTTGATTTACCATTTTTTTTTTGGTAAATTCAGTAACGTTAGTACCATAATTCCATTGTGCTCTCATCACTCTGGTACACATCGAAGAAGCTTCTCTTTCGTATTCGCGTAAAAATTGCAAAGCTTCGCCTAAATCAACGTTGAGTCCCTAAAATAAATAATAATTTCACATTTTTTTCATATTTATTTAAATTAATTGAAAATATGAGAAGAATATAAGAAGTAGTATCGTTAGAAAGTTGATTAGCAATTTTAATTAGAGGTAGTAATAAACAATGTACATTTTTCTAACGTTTTCATGCATAACCATTATCCTATTTATCTAACTGTATCATCAAACTGTATCATCATACTGTAAGTACCGTTAATCGAACATTGTTTTGAGTGTATGCATTTATGTGTATAAGATAGTATTGTTGAAACTTGAATTATTATTATTATTATTCTTACCTCGACATATCTGCTATGAATTTTATTAATTAATCCAAATATAACGATAAATAATATTATTTTCTTCATCGTTTTTAAATATTATATTATTAAATTGTTCTTGGATATTAATTTCAAAGAATTTAATTATTATTTCTTAACATTGTGTGTGTGTGTGTGTGTGTGTGTCGTAATATTGTTTTTATTTTTTTTTTATATTAAATTTATCCGCGCGTAAATATATTACGTAAGTGTATATTTAATATTCCACTTTGTTTATTAAATATACAAACATAATTATTATATTATATAAAATTCACTGTTTTTAAAAGTATATACCAAAAGAAAAAAAAGCAATTGCACTTCGTTAATTCAAAAGGAAAAAAAGATTAAATATATAACGCGTGTTTATAATAAAATAACAACAAAGAACATAATTCAACATAAAAAATGTTGAAATTGTGATCGTAATTACAGGAACATTTCGATCATTTTATTTTCGATTAATATTTCTTTCTTTCTCTTTTTATTCTTTTTAGATTGGATCGATACGATGAAAAGATATTTACGTGAATAAGATTTTTCGAAGCGTAGTATAGGAAAAGAAAAAAAATAGATTCGATGGTATATGTCTTTTGATGTTGCAGAAAATTTATCTTTTGGAGGTTAAATTGAGCACACAAACCAAAAAATAGAAAATGGTGGTAAAAGGAAAATGGAATCGTATGACTTTAGTCGAATTTAATATGAAATCGAATTGTGGAACCGATAATACTGCGTTTGGTATTGATGTCGCGGTAAAACTGAATCGGTTGGAAAAGCAAGAGAGAAAGATATTTTTTTTTTTTCCGGAACGGATAGTCCGCAAGCGAAAAAAGGAAGGGACAGGCATCATCGAAGCATGAAGCGTAACCACCCAGACGCATATTATGGGCACACGCCAAGATCCTTTTGTACTTTATTCTATTTGAAAAAAGAAATAGGAAAACAATGATAATGGTCACCTTTTATTTCCATAAGATTTTTCTCTTATTTTTCTATATTTTATTTTATTTTATTTTATTTCTTCATTATTTGTTCTCTTTTGTTAACATTGTTGGATGATAAACTTTGATCTATTTTTGTTTTTGTTTATTATTATTATTATTAAATTTATTTCCATCCGTTGCATTTTAATTTCGTCAATATGACAAATGATCAAATGTGAATTTTTATAGGATTTATTTTAGGGATTGTATTTCAATTAATTATTCATAAAATTTAAATTACATTTATAATGTATTTATTATTATTTTATGATTAATATTCTTAATTAATAGGTATAGTTTATGGATTAATAATTGGTTTGTATTTGTAATAAGGGCTTGCTATGTGTTCTGTTCGGTATAAATCAGAATTTTTTACGGTTTGATTTATAAAATAGATCATAAATGATTTCATATACTGATCTAATAAATTCTAAACATTTCTTAGTATTAGTTTTCTTGATTGCTTTTCGAATATCATATTTTATCAATGAGGACATCAAGTTTTGTCCCCTTCCTGTTCACCTAAGCATGAAAACTAACGGACCTTCTATGAAACGTCAAACACATTTTTTTATTTCTATATTTCTTTTACTTCCTACATTTATTGTTTTAATTTTTTATACAACATATTATTTTTCCTATGTGTTTCTTCATAAAAATATTATTTATTTATCATTAATTGTATAATTTAATGATACACGATATGATTTTAAAACAATTTTTATGTTTCTTTTTTTTATATCTAAATATATTTAAATAATAATTTATCAGACTTCATAGTATATTTATAAATTCGATTAGTAATCGTAATCATCATAATTGATGATTAAATAAATATTTTAAATGACAAGAAAAATAATTATTTGTTATTTATTATTCATCGGTGAGAAGTTTTAGGATTACTTTGATTATTTTTTTAGGTTCCCCAATATGATTTATTTTTAAATCGAAAGTAATTGACAAAACGTAAACCTTGTTTTTAATGTTCCATAGGCGTACCGTAACGCTATAATTATCCAGTGGCGTAATCTGTGACGACATAACCGTAAGATAATTACTCTCTCTCACTATCTTTCAAGGAACATAATTGTGTTCTTCTTTTTTTATTTTCATCTTCATACTTACAATACGTTACTTCATACTCGTGTAAGAAATAATATGAAATTTGTAAAAAGGTACAACTTGCAAGGACATTTTAACATTTTATTTCATTTTGTCACCTTGATATTGAATGACGTTTTATGGTTATTCGTTTTTTACTTCTTTCTTTTTTTTTTTTTTTATTATACTTATAATTAGTTCTATACTTGATTTACGTAATTGCATTGCGGATTTTTTTTTTTTCATTTTATTTTATTTTATTTTATTTGATTTGATTATTTTGATGATAAATCAGAAGGATCACATTCCTGTTGTTGAAAATTATTTTAATTAAGTATTATTATTCATATGTCCTTGTGCTATCATATCTTTCAATCTTTCGTAAAATATTTTAGCCTTGAAGTATCTAGCATGTAAGTGAATTATTATTATTATTAATATTATTATTAATTTCTTTTTCAACTTATTGTTTTTTTTGATTTGTTTTCGTTTTAGAAATTGGCTTTAATTTGTTCGATATTTTTACGTCTTTCCAAATGAGCGAATGTTTTCTTCAAACTACGAAGCTCGTTTTGCAATTTGACGAAATCTAATATTTCTGGTACCTAAAATTGATTTATACACAAATGTGAACGGTATATAATTATTTAAAAGATAATAATTATTTATTAATTATATCTGAGAAAGTAATACTTCGTAATCGTTCATTAATTTTGTCAATGAAGTTAATTGTTTCTTAGCTTTATCTATTTCTTGTTCGGTTATTAAACATTTCAATTGTAAATCTTTCGCTTGTTGTTCGTTCGAATGAATTTCTTTAGTAATCGAATTAAACAACGACATTAGATTTTCCAAATTTCGTTTATATTTCATCAACTTCGAATTGTATTGCACTGAAGTTTTCATAAAACAAAAATATTCGATAATTATTTGAATATTAGAATTTAATTAATTTAATTGTTTTTTATATTTATGTTATATTAAAAATAATTAATTGAATTTTATTATTAAATACCGGTGACACGTTTGACGTCGATCAAAAATTGTCCACTTTGATTAATTTGTTTCTTATAATCCTCATTTTGTATTTTCAATCTTTCGAAATCAACTGGACGTAAATCTTCGCCAAGTTGTTCTCTTTGAATTAATTGTTTCTTTGCCTTTCGTATTTTCAATCTGATCGTAGCACTTTTTAATCGAATTTTTTCAATACTTCTATTAATACTTTTTAACCAATCTTTGATAAACCTTGAAAAAACATCAATAGATAAAGAATAGTTTTGTTTTAAATTTTCAATTAATCATTCTTTCTCTTTTGTCTATTATTTATTATACTATCGTTTAATTCTAATTATTTCAATTGTTAAGAAAAAATAAAATTATTGTTAAATTAACTTGATAAATGTTTCAGCTGGTATTTTGCCAGTAAGATGATTTACACCACCGATAACTATATCATTTTCAAAACGATCCTTCGTATCTTTAACATCGCGAATACGAACTTCAAGTTCTTCGATTTCTGCTTGAAATTTAATTTCTTCCTTCCGATTAGATCTTTCCAATAACAACAATTTCTTGTTATATTCTATTATTTCATTTTTCATCATTTCCATTCTTTGTGGTATAGTTATTCTAAAACATATCAGATATTAATACACTTAAATATCATTTAACACAATTTTAAAACAATATTTATTTTATTTATACAAACACATATAATTAAAAAATATTATTATTCAATTATTTCAAATCTTTGAAATACTGAATAATTTATTTACATTATAATATATATAATAAATCGTAAAAAAATATATTTCTTCATAATTATAGAGTCATATTGTTAATCAAAATTCTTGGGATTTTGGTGTTAGTATATTAAAGGTTAGATTAAAATGAAATTGTTGGATTATTATATAATATTATTATCAGACGATTAGAGATCGATACCACCTCAATCTTCTCATCATTGGATCCAACATTCCACGTCGAATACCAGATTGCATACTCCAAATACTTGGTGAACCTCGGTCACGTAAGCTTATAAAACTATCAGTTATACTCCTAGTCGGTGATGTAGATGGAAAATAATACGTGCTTTTCTGCGTGCCCTTAGATGTTTCACTAATAGTCTCATCTATTTCTAATATCAAAGTATCAAGATTTATTAATAAATATTTCAATCAATATTTTATTGTATATTACTCAATTTTATTATTGACTTCATTTTTCTATCATTGTGAATCAAGTTTCTAAGACACCCGTTAGAAAATACTTTTTACTTATACGAGGGGAATTTGTTTTTCTTTTTTTTCTTTTCGTTAGAAATCAATTTTTTAATTAAAACTAGTTTAAGAATTTTGGGATTCGATTAGGAACTTTTGGAACACACTATGTAATTTAATTGATTTCATTTTTTATTATTTAACTCGAATAATTATTATTTTGTATATAATGAATCAGATTTGAATTATTGTTGATATTAATTGATAAATAATTCAATATATATATATATATAAATATTGTTAATAAATTTTGTTTACTTCGTAACATTTCAGGATCGTTTCTTCTGAGATATCTTTCGAAAAAATCATTCTCTAATTCTAATATCGCTTTCATTTTTATCGTACTAACTAATATATTTCGTAATTTATCATCCGGAATATCTAAATTGGTAATAAATTGTTTTGAAACAATTTTCTTTTTCAATATAGTTTATTTTAAGATAAGGTTAGATTTTATTTTGTTTCTCACCATCCCAATGAAAATCGTCCTCTTCTTTCGTTTTTACGTTAACAGTCGCATAAGGCATCGTTCCTAATTTATTTCCAATGAATTTAATACATATATTAGATTTTCTAAATTTTATAATTTATTGGAACGATCTATTTGTTTCTATTTCTTGGTTAGAATTTCGTCAATTAATTTTCATTCAAATTCATTCGATAGTTTAGTATGTTTTTTTGTTTTTTATTGGAACAGGATTAGTATAATAAGTTTTCGATTGAAATAAAATTGAACAAAGATAATTACGACAATAATTGAATGATTTATTTGACTTTTATTAATACTGCATACAATATTGTTAACAATAAATTATATCTGTTAATTATGTTTCATCGTACGATGAAATGCCTTCCTCATTTATTTCGATATCATCGATGTATAAAATATAATCGATACCAATTTCTTTTTGATTAGAACTAGAGGATCTAATCACTGCTGGTAATTCTGATACCGAAAACAGCATTTCGGCTCCACCATCCATAAATTCATTCTTAAATTAAATACAAATATGCATAAGAGTCATTATTCTCTTTTGTAGGTTATGATTAAAAAGTGTGTCTACGAATAAATGAATCAATGCATGAATTAATGCATGAATTAATGCATAATTTTTTGTTAAGGTTATAATTAAAAATGTGTCTGCGAGAATATTAAGTCAATGCACGAATTAATGTGCATCGTAGATTAATTATATAATTAATCTAATTCGTAGATTAATTTTTATATTAAATACAAATATGCATTTTTAAGTAATCATTATTTTTTAAGATTAGGATTTAAAAATGTATCTAAGAAAAAATGAATTAATGCACGAATTAATGCATTTACTTAAAATAGAGTTCGTAGATAAACGTTTAATTATAAATAATCAGATTGTTGTATAAATAATTAATTATTTTCTTTGAAATAAATTACCTCGACATCAATCAGTTCCCCATTGATCCACACATTTTGGGTTTGTTTATCTGTATAAAAGAATCATTGGAATTAATTAATCGATTAATCGATAAAAACAATCTCTTACTTGAGAACAAAATTGTAATAATTATTACCCAATAAAATTCTATATTCATTATCTCCTATTTTGGTTAACCAAGATTTCAATATTTTCGATTGTGATTGGACAAAATTTTTATAATTTTTCCCATTAACCCACAACGTGTAAGAATATTTAAAACCTGCAAAATTTAATTCTTTCTCAAATATATACGAACGAACAAATAAATAAAATAAAGATTAATCGAGTAAAAAAAAAAATAAAATAAAAAATGAATTAAATAGACAATAATAATTAATTTAAATAATATATATATATATATGTATATCATTTCGTTGTAATTTTAATGTAAATTTAAAAAAGAAAACATATATTTATGAATATAATTTAATTGTTAACGTTTGAAATAAATAAGAACCTGGAATGGGGTCAACTCTAATGACAAATTTGGTCCCATTAAAAGTGAACAATTCGTCACCGACTAAACGAAACATCCATTCTCTACGTACTAATTCTTCATCGTCAATTTTAACAATCCGACGACCGGTAGCAGTCCCATGTTCAAATTCGATCACATGGTTACCATCGTTCAATGGTACCGTCCACCTTGCTGTTGGTTCGTTCGATGATTCTAACGCATGCAGACTTCTATTGTGTAGAATATATATTTTATTTGTAAAAAAAAAAGAAGAAGAAATACCCTTTTTTGTTGTTTTTTCATTTAGCAATTTTTTTCATACTCAATCATTTTGTGTTCATCGAATAGAAATAATTCTTGGAATTATTTTACTTAATTATAATGATTTATTTGTATTGTTAGGTCGTACTCACCGAAGTAGAGCGTTCGCCATATTCCTTACTTCACCTGTACACACACACACATACATATATACATACACGTACCTTTTTATTGATCGTATCATAACCATGGTCAGCGGTCAAATCAATAATCCAAACATTTTTGACGTCAGACTATGTAACACTGAACGAAGTTGTTAAAAGGTTATGATAAAAATCATTATTTTTTAATAGTCATTTATTTGACATTTTTTTATATATTTAAAAACAAGAACACGCGTTGTATACTCCTTGAAATAATATAAAATAATATATTATATAAATTATTTAACGATTAATAGAACAATTTATTTGTCATATAATTTATAATGCATAATTAAAACGAATAATAATAATATTATTATATCACAAACGATTATAGAATTAATTTCAAATTTATCGTAAGTTAAAAAAAATGATTATATAATATGAATATAAAAATGATATTGAATTGAATTAATTTAATTGGTAATAGCTGGTAATAATTTTCCTGCACACGATCCAAAACCAATTCGGTAACCGTCCCCATCGCAATAACCTGTTAGAAAAATTGTAATTAATTTAATGATAATTTTAATAATAATAATAATACGAATAAAATAAATTGACGAGATAATTACCACGTATGATAACTTCGTCGTTATCCTCGAGAAATTTTCTCGTAGAGCCATCTTTTAATTGAATTTTTTTCGTACCTTTCCAACAAAGTTCCAACATAGAACCAAACGATTCAACTTTCTGAAATTTTATTAATTATTATTGTGTATTTTCATTTTAAATGTATTACCTAATTTATTGTCAAAGTTTTTTTTTGCAATTTTTTGACTGGCATAAATTAAATGTTATAATTATTAAACTATCAACAAACCATTTTTTCATAGTAATTTTTGAATATACTGACCTCGCCACTTATGGTACCGGAAGCCATTAAATCTCCAGGATTAATATTACATCCGGTTACTGTGTGATGTGCAAGTTGTTGTCGAGGAGTCCAATACAAATATTTGTAATTACTACGACATATTGTTGTAACCATTCCATTTGGTGCTTAAAAACAAGATTTTGAGAAATATAAACAATTATTAATTTTCTAATTTATAAATCTCCCCCGCCTTCCAGCCCCCCTCACCCTCCACAATTATAACAACAACGACAAATTAATTATTTAAATACTTTTAATATCAACTTCCAATTTGATGTCAAAATTGCAATTATCCTTGTGACGTAGATAAGGAAATGGAATTGGATCCTGTTCGTTGTTAGGAATCCTAAATGGTTCTAATGCTTCCATGGTGATTACCCATGGTGAAATTGTCGTTCCAAAATTTTTTGCACAAAATGGACCCAATGGAACGTATTCCCATTTTTGAATGTCCCTTGCTAAGATGATAAAAAATAATAAGAAAATAAATTCTATTTAATTCTTATCTGATAATAATAATAATAATAATATTTTATGTGAATAATGATTAATATGCGTTACCACTCCAATCGTTCATCAAAACCATGCCGAAAATATGATCATATGCATTTTCAGCAGTAATCGGTTCGCCTAATTCACTTGATGGTCCACCAACAAAGAATGCAACTTCCAATTCGAAATCCATTAACCTTGTTGGACTAAATAAAGGATCTGCATCAGGTATTGGTGTTGTTTGACCACATGGTCTTCTTATTGGTGTACCAGATACTACAACTGAACTTGCTCTGCCATGATAACCAACTGGAAGATATTTCCTGTATTTAATTAAACAAAAGAAATTATATATAAAAAAACAAATTAATAATATTATATTATTTAGAAATTAAATTTAATAGATATTAATCAATCAATATTTAAAGTATAGTCAATGTATAAATGTTTATTAAATTTGTTACAACGAATTAATTGATATATTTAATAATTAAAATTGTAATTTGATTAATCGTGAACGTATTTACTCAGCTGTTAAGTTTCTTTTTATTATTGCAATAGAAGATACACACTTATACACGTTCCATTTAATCATGCTAATTTATTACCAATTAGGGAACAATGCGTTGTTTTTATCACGAAACATACAGCCAACATTTGTTGCGTGATGAATAGACGAATAGAAATCAGTATAATCTCCTATTTTAGCTGGCAAATGCATCTGCACCGATTCCTGTTTGACGAATACCCTAAAATAAAAGCCACCACCATTCCAAAAGATAATTTTATTTCATTGTTTTAAACCAAATCAATGATATTTTATATGTTTAAACACGATTTAAATCTCACTTTTTACGAATTTTTTCTTCTTGCAACGTTGGCGTATCGTTTGATAACAAATATTGCAATTTCGATCTTGCTTCCAACCATGCTGGTCTTCCCAAGGCCATAAAATCATTGAGATAATCTTTACGAAAGACATCCTGATTGTTTTTTAATATCGGACCGTCGAATAGATGAGAAATTTGACTCAAATCTAATATCTCATCGCCTATTGCTACTCCTATTCTTTTATTCGGCTAAAATTTAAATTGAATTTCTCGATTGTTTATTATTGTCAATAGGATTTAATTTGTTTATTAATAAATAATAATGTGTTAGTAAAAAAACAATAATCCATACGAATGTAATCATATAAACACATATTTATTATTATTATTATTATTAACGAAAATGATCGTGATTAATGTGTTATTAATTTATTTACAATATTTTTTTCATAAAAATTTGATTTAATTATTAAATAGTTTATAAAATAATTAATATTAATACTTTAATAATATTATTTCTTAAGATATATATATATTTATTACATGCAATGTGTGTTTACTTTGTCTTCACGCTTATAAACTTTCCTGATCTCATGTTTGGTTTTTGTTTCCGTTAGTTTTTCAGTCAAGAAGTTGGTAAATACAATAAAAGGTTATTATAACGTCGCACGTTAGTCATTCCTTTGTAGGATTTCATACTGACAATACGTATTCGTTAAATTTTCTTCAATAAAAACATTTACATTAATTAATACACATTAATTTATTGGAAATTTGTATTAATTTAATGGGTCTCCGTACACAGCAACCTTCCCGTGGTGAGATTTGGTCAATCGATATTACTTGCGATGTTTTATTACTTTTTTTCTTGTTTTAATTTTATTTATTTAACACACAACGCAAGTACTGTCGAGCGAATGGCTGTGATTTTTTTTTCGCGATTTAATATTTATAAAGCATTCGACGATTATTTTATTCCGAATGCAAATTCGTAATTCTAACTTCATGACTTTTTTTTTTGTTTTTATTTTCTAATGATACTATACTTTTTTTTCTAGATTTAGGTTTACCAACCATCGGTCATACAGATCTCTGCAGTTTATTCAACTTCGATGGATTTATTTTGATTACATTTGTATCTATTATTGATTAATTAATAATTATTATAAATCGTACGTTTGTTTAATATTATTATTATTAATCGTAAAATTCAGTAAACGTTCGTTACAATTCCTTAGAGCATAGGTAAAAATTAATTTAATTAAATATACACATTAGGTCGATAATGAAAATATTGTTTTTTTTTTTACCAACACTCGATAAATGTATTATTTAATTAGAAGACAAAATTAGATGATACTTACGTAAGCAATTGTAATGAGAATGAATATATGTTAGAATACAATTAAAAATTATTTTATTTATATATATATATGTATACAACATATGAAATTTATTAATTATTTACACGATTATTGTTTGAAAAAGTATTAATCTAATTATATTGTACATAAATGTATGACTTAACCTATTTATTATTTCAAATCGATGAAAACAAGATTTCTATTTTAGTTAGATAAGATAAAACAAAAAAGAAAAAAAGTAACTCGTGTAATTATTAAGATGATTCGATAAAAAAAACTTACCTTATCTCGAGTAGAAAAGATACCATAAGGAAGATTTTCGATAGGATAATCACTATTGGCAGAGTACTTGACAAAAGACTTCATTTTTTTATTCTGTTATTTCTAACACACAACTGTCGTCGGTCGAGTCCCAGAAGTTTCTTTCTGCTTCGTAATATAAAGTTTATTTTGAATTTAATCAGTTTACCAGTAGATACCCGTCAGGGTCAACCAGTTTTACCATTTATCGTCTGACTTAATTAATACACATATTTGCATTCACATATGCATACCTATTTACCGAGCTTAACCACAGTGTACAAGAAAAACAAGTTGTCATTTATATTTTTTTTTTATTCTTTTTTTATTATAAATTAATATGTCAAGAGAAAATATACTCCGAGTAGTTTTTCAAACATAATTTTCTATAATAATAATAATAATGATATAAATAAATAATTAAAATAAAGATAGTATTCAATCGATAAGATTTAAAATCACACTGACTGAATTTCGATTGAAATTTTCCATCGGATAGATATAATTAAATAATCGAATGATTCTTTTTCTTGTATATTGTATATTTTATTTGTTTTTTTTTTTGTTTTATTCTTTTTTTTTAAGGTAGATAAAAAGAGAAATGTAAAAAAATGGTGATGTAGCATTGACAAATTTGAGATAACAGCAGTTTATTTATTAGACATTGATATACAGTGGATAATTAGGGCGATTAGGTTGGCTAGGTGAATTTTTGTTATTTGTAATATTTGTTGCGATTACGACGTGGTGCACAGCACAAACAACGTAACCAACAATATTTTATTTCTTTTTTTTCGTCGAATTTATTATTATCTCGAGTATGTTATCTTTTTTCTTACATTTTTTGTTTTTGTTTTTTGTTTTAATTATATTTTTATCTGTTTTTTGTTTCTTCTTCTTCTTTTGCCTACCGTTACGTAGAGTAAAATTTTTGGTTACCTTACACGCACGCGCATTGGTTTTCTACCATGTGTTTCGTTTGTTTCAATCATTTTTTGTTCATTTAATATTTATTTCTAACTTTATATAAATTCGTTTACATATCATATATATTTATTTATACGATTAACACGAAGAGATAAGATTTATCTTTGATATTAATTATACAAAGATAATAATC